TTGACAGGGCTTACCTCAAAATGTCAGCGCGCAAGCATTTTGTCCAAACCTTTCTTGAGGGGCAATAGATTTGTGATCAGGTCACCCCGCGTTGGCGCCTGATCATGTCGCGAAGACCCAGTCATGACCACGGGCTTACATAGGCCCGAAGTTACCCCACATCGTTCGGCGTCAGGTTCCTGACCATTCATCCATACTTCCATCCATCTATCCACCTACCCACCATTCATCCACCTACCATTCGTCATCCTACCATCCATCCTCCTACCATCCATCCTCCTTCCATTCATCCGCAATCCATTCACTAGCGGGAGGTCCTCACAACGCGATAGAAGCCTAACACTCTAGAGACATTTGTAGCTGCATGAAAACGCAACATACGAAGTGCAAGGTGGCATCCCAAAAGCTAGGCCTCAGAGAAATACTCCAGGCCGGACTGCATTAGCATAGCCAGGAAAGCCCAATTGCGAGAATATGCCCGAGGCTGCGTCGACCAGGACAGCGGGCATAGCTAGATCCATGGACAGATCCCCGACGAGCCCCAACGACGGACGAGCGAAGCCAGGATGCCAAGCATACTGTCTCGGGATGTAGGTCAACTTTCATCTCAGTGAAAGCTATGGCCCTAACTGAGAACGCTCCCGATGAGACCAGCTCTTGCCTGATAGAAGGGGGTTAGCATGACGCCTCCTTCAACATGCTGTGGCCAGACCCAACGGCAGCTAGCTGCATCGAGTCCTCTGATTAGACCTGCAGCTGATTCGAAGTGAGGTATGCCATGGGTTCTCAAGGCAGAGCTCAAAATATATAAAACCGGCCGTTTGCCCAGTTCTGCTGGTGAACGCCCGTACAACAGTACTCTCTGAATCACAACTCTATACACAGCTCTTATTTTTGCTATACTACTCTTCAAAATCGGTCAATAAGTTAATCCTGAACTATCATCCCCCTTGATTCATTGATCACTACCCACATTTCATTCGACACTTCTCAAATCGACACTATGCACCATCCAAGTGCTACCCAGGTCTCCGTAATGGACATCTTCTTCCCTGGCTTCGCTGGCGCCATGACGGCGCTGAACCAGCTTTTCAACGGCACTTTGGATAGCTTTGCCATGACGTTGTGCGTCTGCGGACTGCTCATTTTTGGTGGCAAGTTCATATGTAACACCGTGGGAGGCTTCGTAGATGCTTACTTAAGTTGGTGGTCCTTCCTTTCCAATGCTTCAGCACAGTATTAAAATCCCTCAGCATCTAGAACCGACGTCCACGATCCTGACGAGATGTACGATATGCTCGAATACTGGGTCTCTTCCCAAGACTTTGCCAAAAAGGCCCGTTCATCTCTTGCCAGCGTTGACAGCAGGCGAGGACGAGCCTTGCTTCATCCAGACTGCGACATGACGACCAAGAAGCCCCTCCGATTTACCCCGTGGAAAGAACGAGTGTATTTTTGGCACAGAGGGCATCTGCTCTATCTGCAATGCACGCAAAACGAGGTGGCACTATTTCCTCGCAAGACAATGACTGTTTCTTGTGTTGGCGGTTCCTCCCAAGTCCTACGAAACCTCATGGGTGAATGCCGCCTTGAATACCTGAAGATGTCAGAAAAAAAGACTTCAATTTTCGAGCATCACAACAACGGCTGGAAAAGAATCATGACCCGAGAAATCAGGCCGATCCAAACCGTCATTATGAAGGAAGAGTTGAAGCAAACGCTCCTGGACGACATTCGCGACTTCCTCGACTCCGACACTCCTTCCTGGTACGCCGATCGCGGGCAGCCATACCGGAGAGGCTACCTGCTGTACGGCCGCCCAGGAACCGGAAAGTCGAGCTTCAGCATGTCGGTTGCCGGGTGCTTCGGTCTCGATATCTATGTCGTTAGTCTTGCCGACATCGACGATATGAGGCTTAAGGCCTTGTTCGCCGACCTTCCCCGGCGCTGCGTCGTTTTGCTTGAGGACGTTGACGCAGTTGGCACAACACGAGCTCGCGATGCCGATAACGATAAATCTGATTTGGGCACAGATATGTCACAAAGCCCACCAAAGCCTCATGGACCTCTTTCATTGTCTGGATTACTTAACGTCCTTGATGGCGTGGCTTCGCAGGATGGCCGTGTTCTTATTATGACAACGAACCACATTGAGCACTTGGACGACGCTCTGATACGACCTGGCCGCGTCGACAAGAAAATCGAGTTCGGACTCGCCGATGCGGAGGTGATTCGGCAGCTGTTCTGTACTGTTTTCGAATACTCAGAAAAGGAGATGCCTGATGCAGAGACCCGAGACAAGAATAACGCTGGTGTACGACAGCTGGCAGTTAAATTTGCAAGTGTCGTGCCGGAGTTGCAATTCAGCCCCGCTGATATTCTGTCGTTTCTTCTTGCAAATAGGGGATCGCCGTCGAGCGCCTTGACCGATGCGGAAGGATGGTTGCTCAGAACCAGAAAGGCTGGAACACTTAGGCGTTGTGATTCCTGGGTTCAAAGTGACTGACCGTGGGATAACTTATTTGAGATATCCGTGACAATTATTTCATAGCTCTGGAATGGAAATAAGATTTGTCTCCAAATTCTTTCTGGGTCTAAGCCCAACCAACTGGATATAAGTGCAAGAACTACTGTTATGGCCTATACCGCCTTCCAGATTCACTTTACTGCCGACTGCCCAAAGTACAGCACCTCTAGATTACACAATCCGTCCAGCTCTACGCCCATTGAGTTTGTAACATACGAAGTCTTATTCTTTCGGTCAGATATCCAAGAAACAAAGCAGGTTATCTACGGAATCGAAATTCTGGGACCAGCAGCCTTGGATAAGTCCTGCATTAGGTACACCAGTCAAGTCTGGAAATTCTTGGTTGCTGTACATCTCCCGAACCTCCTCACTCTGGAACTCCTGAAATGGAGCTTTGCCCATCATTATGTAGTAAATCGTTGATCCTAGACTGAAGAGGTCGCTTTTGACTGTTGGGCTCCGTTGCAAGGAGCGGTCCAGTGAAGGGGCTGCGTATCGAGTGCCAGGGCTGATCTCAGTATGGGAGCCGTCGACGGCTGATCCAGAAAAGTCGATAATTTTGAGACGCAGGCGGTCATCCAGGAGGAAATTATGCGGCCCAATATCGCAATGAAGAACAGTGAAACTATGCAGAAGCTTGACGGACTCAACAGCCTCAATTACCCATTGCTGTCGCTGTTCAGCAGACACGTCTTTGTGGGACTCGAGAAAGTCTTTGAGGGTTCCGTTGGGCATGTCTTCCAAGGCCAAGGTGTATTCGTCTGAATTCCAAGCCTTCTTTTTCACTAAGCAAGGATGTTCACCAAGTCGATCGTATATCTCAGCCTCTGTAGCGATTTCGCGACGTCGCTGGTGGGCGCGGTCGCCGCCAGGCCAGGCCGTCTTGATGATGGTGCCGTCAGGCAAACGCTCAACATAGGATGTTGAGCCTATCGCAACAAATTCGCCCTTTTGATTCAAGGAAGGGATTTCTTCGTCGTGACCATCGCTTGTATGGTCAGCCAAGCTCGTCCTGGTATGGCTGTCGAACATTCTTGGGCAAGGACTTGAGAAGTGAGGTTTGCCTGTTTACAAGGACTTAGGTGGAAAAACAGAGGATCAAGAGGGTTTATGTGGGTGCGGTTCCTTCGTGGGCATCTCTCGGTTGGAGGCGGTGAAGCAGCGTTCCCCGCAGCGGGAGGCGCTTGTGTGGGGCGGGGAGGCGGGGGGCTCAGCTACCATACAGGTGGCACTAAGCCGTCAACCCAACTCAGTCTAGGCGACGCTTCCATGTTTAAAACGTTTTGTTCAGATGAGACTGTAGTATTTAGAAGACTAGAAGAAATGGTATCTGTACAATAACCATTACGCTTCCGCTGGAATAAGCATTCATGGCCTCGTTGACAAAGCCCAAGGTGCAGTTTAGGAACATCCGCCATTAGGGGTCATTGGTGTATATTGATGTGCATATCAAGTGAATGGTTGGTGGTACTACCGATATGTGCAGGATAACGATGGGAATCGAGCCCAGCATTAAGATATTCCAAACTTCGCCAGCCGCGCAATAAGTGGAGAAGTTTCGTGTATTTGAATGCGAAACCAGCTATTTCAGTAATTGGTCGTCTCTTTAACAATCTCGTTGAACGAGAAATGATCCGTTCGACGATTTTTGAGCCGGGGCTCATCGCTGACTATAACCCTCGTCTCGATGTCGGGGACACTGGACTCTGGACGTTGTCTTGCCGGTGGTAGATGACGTTGGGTTCGAACAAGTTGTACCCGAACTGATTGCGGCAGGATACTTCGCTAGAAAAGTGCTGGATGTGTTACACGTTTCGGGGCAACCCGTGTAGGAGGTCTTGGTGGTTATGCTAGTGCACATTCTCTATCATTAGCTGCCCATTAGCCAGTCGCAGTTTCTCATCAAACGTACTTGATGTATTCAGGTTAGGGTTCTTGGAGATGAACGCATATGAAAAGGTCACGCAAGTAGAGAGAGTCGCGTAGAAGAGTCTTTTATAGCCGTTCTGTGGCATGGACCAACGGGAGACACAGTTCATAAGCCCTTCCTGCTTGGGATTCTTACACTGAGTTGCAGACCAACAGCGCCTTGTTCTTCCAGGCCGCATCGGCGCGTCGATTCCAACTGAGCTCACCAGCTAGAAGGGTCCGGATATCTGCATTGTTACCAACCGGAAGAAGGGGAAATAGGCACGGTCCTTTTCCTAAATTGCAGCCCGCCGCAAGGTCGGCCAACCAGAGTGCCGGGCTGGGATACGTGGAGCCAGAAATGTCCGTTTCGCCAATAGGTAGGTAGGTTGCTACTAGCGCCATACTAAGCGGATCAACGGCTTCCACGAATGACCTGCGTATGTCCACGCCCAACAAACATGAACGTGGTACTTGACCCCGTCCGATACCGACATTCTAGCGGGTCAGTGAACGGCTGGGCGCATCTTTCGACAAGCACTCTCTCTCAAGCAGTAAGCTCGCGCAAGCTTGCGGGTCATCCTGTTGGACTGACAAGCGAGTAGTCTATGGTGATTCATTCTCAGGGTAGACCATGAGAAACTGTTGGTTAGGATCGGTTTGGTCCCTTGTTACGTACGGCTTAGGTGAAGCAAAGCCAGAGCTCAATGACGTATCATTTAAGAGCAACAGCCTAGGAAGCTTGTGCCCTTAGGCTTGCTTTGTGACATATTCATAGCAGCCTTGTGAGACGGGTGTGAGGCCGGTCATAGCTTTACATGGCTGACACGCACAAGAGTGTATCGGCCATTTGAGTGCGAATTTGAAGAAACAAAAAATGAATAAGAACCATACAGTACTCTTAACGGGGAGGCCACGATGTTCATCCGTTCTGGTGTAAGCCATTTCTGGAGTAATCAACCTGGATCCCCTGCCAGTACCTGTCACACTGAGTCCGCGCGCTCGCAGATCCAAGAGAGCTCACTTGAAGAGGACATGCATTTTGAACGTACAGTATGTAGAAATCAAATCTGGTTTCCGTCTTTACAAATAGGATTTATTCTGTGCACAGATGGTTATGGATCCGCTTGCTGACAGGGTACATGACAAGGCCCCGACGATACTTTCTTGATGACCACCATAGTCGAAGTCAGAAGTTGCTTCTACACTGTGTTCGTGGATTAGACCCATGTCGCATAATCCAATCTCCACAAACGGCGATGGCAAGTGCAGTCTCTACAGTATGCAAGATGGGTCTAAAATAAGAACGTAGTAGAGAAGCGATTCTGGCTTTACTGTGGAGGCCATCGATGAATGTACTCGATGGGTCTCAGTATGTATTCTGTCAGCAAAGAGGTCCACATATGCCTGTGCACAGAATTATTCCCATCTGCCAAGACGGAAACCAAGTTTGATTTCTACAGCGGGAAGCTGAAAGTGAATAATACTACAATCAAGTCCTTGTCAGCTTAGTTGTTATTGGCAGGATGAAGTACTGTCATCGCTAGGGAAGTACATCCCTAAGATCGATGCACCATTTGCTGGCAGTCTCTTTCTACACTGTCTGGTCTAGTCTTAGCCATGCGGTAATTTATGCGCGATGTCATCCACCGGTTGCAACCCCGGCCGGCAAAGCGTAATCAACCTGGCATTTCAAGCACCTACCAAAGTGTTTCTCGATGGCCTCCGTCACGAGCCTCATGTCACAAAGGCACAGCTGGGTTTCAACGCAGTCTTGCGATGCTACTTGTAAAATTCTTACTACAATAAGCGTCCAGCGCTGTACTATTCGAGAATGTAGTCTAGCTATGTCATCGCCTATGTACGGATATGTTTTGAGACGCGGCCAGGCGAACGGGAAAGAGCTTGCTCAACAACCACGGAGTCTATCGGAGTTGTAGGGAAGCATTGCATGCCTGGTAACACCGATGAATACAGCGCACAGCATAGGCTAGCAACAAGCTTCATTAGATGTGTGAAGAGACCCATCACAGCAGTTTTTGACTCTCTAAACTAATGAGAGTGTGTGTAAAAAGAGAATCAACGTATTATCACAGTTGTACTGTGTTTCGCTGAGAAGTATTGTTCGATGCTCTGTTGTAAACAGGAAAATTGTACACATGGCTCGACTGAGTCTACTCATTGCTGAAGCAACCGTACGCTCAAAAGCTAGAAGCGTACTCTATCACCTCCTCCGGCTCGTTTCACAGGACTCTTCCTGCCTCACGTCTTTGAGGACGCTGACCAAGTATGGCAAGTATTTTCTGTGTTGTAGCTTGCTGTCCCCCGATGAGGGAAAACTATCCGCTTGGGTTTGATAAGTTGAGGAGCATTTGTCATATATGTACGGCGGGTGACCTGAGCCGCATCTTGTGTCACAGGACAACTTTGTCGATCGGACATGACGAAAGTACGGAACCGTTGCCACGGCTTGGTAGCATGCGACCCGCTTCTATGAACACACCCTGCCAATACTGGTCTAGTCTGTTTCAAAACTGCAGTCTCACTCAGAGGTAGTATCAAAATCAACAAGCAGATTCTAGTCTCCGGAAACCCCAAAGCCATCCTTGGAAAGCCAAAATTTGCGGCCTTCTTTCACATCGGAGAAAAGCGGAAAGGTGGGCGGCTAGTGAAACATTTCCTTGGTGCGTCCGTACATGTTCCAGAGCAACTCCGCCGACAGTTTTGATTGGCTAGCTGCGGATTGTCTCTCGGCTCCCTTGCGTGCCCCTCCCAGCCACCCTGAAGCTGACTACTGCTGGTTTCAAGTTCGGGGAGTCTCTATGTACGTTGCAGATGTCACGGCGGCTCCTTTTAACGCAGCGCATGTTTGCCAACGAATCCGCAGTCATCCAGAGCTTGGTCCGCCACCAAGTTCCGAATGCCGCGGCCCTTTGGTACGACGGCCGGCGGGCAGCTCCCATTGATTGAGTAGTTTGCGCAGGTAATGCTTTCTCAAGGCAGGACCCGTGGGCCATCGTTCCTGACGATGAGGTGCTCGACCCAAATACCGTTCAAAAGCGTAAGCGCAGAGGAAAGCGCAGCATGAGTCCTCCCAGTATGGTCCCAGCTGGTTGATGTGAGTGAAAACATGACACTTCAATGATGACCTGAGCGATACCTACTTCGTGAGATCTTTTGTCCAGTTGGATGACAGCGCCGCGAAGTTCCGAGACATATTCATCGATCCTTATGCTCCATCGAGAAAAAGCAGTTGGTTGCATTCCAAAGGCGTCGAATGTTTCTGTTTTCCAGTTGACGATTGCGAGTATCCAGTGGATTTTATTGTGATCTGACATCTGATCTGCCGCGTTGACGTTGATTGGCAGTACCATGCCGTCAAACCCTTTGGCGAACGCAGAGGCTCCCGAGGGCAAGAACGGCTCAGAGAACCGCACAAGCAACGGGTCTATGGTTTGAAGTGTAGAATAGCCACAAACTGATTGAAGAATGGCAAGAAAAAGGATGTCATCAACATACCGTCCTGGACAAAATTGATCCAGCCTTTGTCTGAAATGAGCTTGGTCGCGACATGACAGCCAACCAACGTGGACATGCTCGACTGCTTTATCAATCAATTTCACGATGGACCTCGAGAAAGACCCATGGCTGGTTCTCGGTTTGGTGGCAGGGTCGGGGTTGTGATCGGGCCCGACGTCGATAAAAGACGCTGCATTCGGTTCGGCCCCATACCTGGGGCTGTGCTCTGTTGTTAAATCAACGAAACACATATTACGGGATGCCGGGTCGGCTCGGCATCCTCTAACAGTGGCACGATCGACTCCGGTCAGACTTGCATTGGTCTCTGCGAGCGATGTCGAATTCAGAGGTGTACTAAACGCTGCTTCCCTGCAGGTCACGATGGAGGAAGTAGACGGTAAGCGAACGGACAGGACGCATGCTTGCGCCTCAACAAGCTTGCCAGCGTTGGGACCTAGAGAAGAATTTTGTGTCGATGAGGGTTCATAGACTGGACTGACGCTTAACAATCGACCAGGCTGACTGAAGCAGTGGAGATGTCGCCGAATGGTATCGTCAAGAAACTTGACTTCGCTTTTGACTCTGGATAGGGAGCAGAAAATAGT